TAATAATGACAACGAGGCCAGTAAACGGGGAAGAGCCAGGAAAACGACGCTAATCACAGAGGCCATGATGCTTAAGAGTAACATGTGCGTATTTTGTGGCTCTGCAAGTCAGCCATAAAACGAAATGAAGCTGCTTGGGCGTGACTGCAGATCGTGTCCTAACCTCGCGCCTCTTCTTCCCATTTTATTTTTTTTATTTTCCTCTCTCACTCTCTGCCTCCTTCCCTTCCTCCACCTCTCTCTCTCTCGCCTCCTCTCACCCTCCGTCCCTCCTCCCCTTTTTCTCTCCCTCCCTCTCTTTCTGCCTTCCCCACAACGCCCCCCCCCTTCCTTCCCCTATGCCCCTGTTTCCCTCCCCCGGTGCCCCTCCCCCCCTGTTGAGGATGCTCCGGGCGCCTCTCTCTCTCCCGCCGTGGCACCTGGACCGACCTTCTGCGCGGCCGTGAGGGATGCTTGGCACAGGGCCAGTCCGAGAAGGTGCCTCGGCGATGAAGGAAGTCGGACACACCAGAGTATTTTTTATCATACCCTCCCTCTTTTTCATCTTTTTTTTGCCTCTATGGGAGGCGGGAAATCGATCCCGCTTACATGGGTACCCGCGGACACGCATGTAGACAGTCAGGAATAGTGTGTGTGTGTGTATGTGCAATCGCATACACATACACAGACACACACACATGTCTATGTATATATGTATTTGTACACACACACACACATGTATATGTATATATGTGTTTGCACACACACACACTTGTATATGTGCGCATGTGCGTGCGTGCGAACACGTTAGTAGGTGCATAAATGTTCCCATTCGCTTCGCTCCTTTGCTGCTTCCTGAAGGGCCGCTTCACTGGCTTCGGTCAGACGCCCCTCCCCAGGAACCCTTCCTCACTCAGAGCCTGATTCACGCATCGCAACGACCGCCCCTTCGGCCGCCCTCCTCCTCTCCGTCCTCGATCTTCATTGTTCTTCTCCCTACATTGTTCCCTTCCCTTGCCGTGGCACTTGTACCACTTCAGCCTTCGCTTCTGCTTTCCTCAGGAAAATCCTTCGCCTTAAGCGCACCTTTCGCTCCGCACTCCGCCTCTCTCCTGGCATTCATCCCGAGGCCCCCCGCCGTCGCACCTTCTCTCATGCCATGTCCAGTTGTCTCACGAAGTCCCCGTACCTTCAGTGTTCCTTCCTGTCGCACTGTAGCTCTCCATGGCTAAGCGGGCATTCACACAGGAACGAGGAGCATGAGTGAACGTCATTCATACTAGACGTTTCATGCTTAGTTGCCTTATGAAGTCTGTGTTCCCTGTGTGCTTCTTTGCCTTCACAGTGTAACTATTTATGACTAAGCAGGCATTCATGCAGCGTTGGGTATGTATGCCAGACGTCGTAATGACAGACAACATTATGTAAATAAGGAGCGATTAAGACATCACGAGAACTCAGGGGACAAAGAAAGTTTCTGAGGCCAGTGTACTTACTTTCTCCACATCCCGAGTCTCTGATTTACAACAGTAAAAGTCTAGCCGCTCTTTTATATATTTACTTTACTCTCGTGTTATTCTATCAGTCTTTCATCGTTCCCGACATCTGTTCTAATCAGCCCAGACATAATTCTGCAAGAGATATCGTTTCCGAACATTTGTATTCTCTCCTCTTAATATAAATGCTAAATCCTAATAATTCCATCTGTTTCCTGTTCTCAAGATCCCTGTGTTGTGAAGCATTAAACAATCTTCTAGTTTTCTTACTACCGCTGTTTTTCCACCTATTCACAGAGCGCTTTCGTAGACAAATATACCTCCCCTATTACCTTATTTTTTATCTCTCTGTCTTTCATCTTTCTAGTAAAAACATACATGACTGAAAAAAAGTGATATATTCTTGATGTACATTAATCATCACTGGAATTCTTTCCATTGATTCAACACTACGGATTCCAAACACTTGAATGGCTCCCTTGTCTATGTCAAGCACCTTTCCACATACTATCATGGCACTCTATCATAAGCTTCTTTGGAATCAGTATCGTGTGTAATGCTTAATTTTTAATTCCTGACAAACGTCTGAAGTATATATATATATATATATATATATATATATATATATATATATATATATATATATATATATATATATATATATATATACATATACACATATATACATATATGCACACACACACACACACACACACACACACACACACACACACACACACACACACACACACACACACACACACACACACACACACACACACACACACACACACACACATATACATACACACATATATAATGTATGCAACAACCTTCTATTCACCAATAGTTACCACAATCAAAGATATCTCCATTCTCCTCTGTAGACTGTGGCTTCCACGCTGTCCATCCACTGGTCTGGCGTTTCTATTCTTTGTAAACTTTCTTTAGGTTTCTGAACGAATATATTCCTTCTTCCTTTAAACTCTCCCTTACGCGTCAGCTGGCCTGAGCCGGTTCTGAGG